GTCCTATTCTATTCTATTCTAACCTTAACCCTTGGAGGTCTCCTAGTCCAAACCCCTGCCTAGATACCATTTCAGACAAATGGCTATCCAACATCTTCTTAAAGACTTCCAGTGTTGGGGCATTCACAACTTCTGGAGGCAACTTCTGTTCCACTGATTAATCTTATTTATATCTCTATCTTAATATATTTTCCACTTATTTTGTAGCCTTCTTCATTTCTAAACTCCTTTTTTTACTCTCCATTAGCAAAATGCTTCCCAAATCACATAATTTCGTTCCCTTTAAATCCAGATTTTCCTTGCTTGCAATCCATCCAGATGTTTACAGAAGGGTGGAACATTGCATTGCGAGAGGTGGAAACCGGGGGACAACAGCTGCAACTCTTCTAATGGAGACCAAACTGAGATCTAACCTGGTTATTGATGCAAGCCTCTAGCCCAAAACACCTGGAAGGAACAGCTGGCACGCTGCTCTATCTTTATTTAAATGTCTTCTCCCTTCCTGGCCCGCAAATGGAAGGCTTCCGTTACAAAGAACCGGAAGTCTAATGGGATAGCCATGCCTGCTTTACCTCTTTGGGCTGCCCGGTGGAATTGACCCTCCCAACCCGGAAGCGATCGTCTCCACACCGGAAGGAGCCTGGCCGTAATGGCGTTCGCTTGCCAGCGGCGGCCTTACTTACTTACCATCACCCGTTTCTGAGCGGTTTGTAGCTCGTCGCTGCGGTGACCCAAAGCCCAGCGCAGGAGTTGTCCGAGGGGCTGAGGACGCATCATGGCCTCTTCCCCACCCCCTTCCCAAAGGCCCACTTCCGGGGCCGGCCGTAAAGATTTTTTTAAAAAGGGGGGGGGGGGAAGGCCGAGCTCTGCGTCGCTGCCTTTGCCTCCTGGCTCAGTTAGTGTGACGTCATCAGGCTGGTGGCCTATCGCGGGAGGCCTGGCAGGAAGGTTTCCAGCACCATCTTTCTCAGGGGCGGAAGCTCGAGACTTCTTCAAGTGAAGCTCATATTTCAGCAATGGAATAATAGTAGAATAAAAACCCTTAAAATATGCAAATATGTAACTTGCTGCTTGAAAGTTAGAAATTAAAGTCAAAGCCTTTAGGCTGCAATAATATAATACTAATAATAGTAATAATAATAATAGTAAATAATACAAAAATGCCAAACCCATTGTTATTGATGAATAACAATAAAACTATAATAATGATAATAATAAGCAGCTGTTGAGCTACCAACCTGCCCCAAAGGCTGTGAATCACACCAAAGATTTAATAATAATAATAATAATAACAATAACAATAATAATATCACCTTGGGGTGGACTTGATTGCTTAATAAAAGTGCCAAATCCAGTCCCACTGTGCAGTCAACCATAATAATAAAAATATTAATTATGTTTTATAGTTACTAAATTTGCACTATAAGTGAATGACAAGTGTACGAAATAAATAGGAATAAAAATAACATGAATGGGGGTCATAGTTGAAAACATGGGATTCCTTAATGGAAAAAAAAAAAACGGCTCGGAGGCAGATGGTCAGCTTATTCCTATATGGCATCCTTACAAATTATAGGACCTCCGTTCTAGCAGAAGGAATTTTTTTTCCAGATGAAAAACGTTTTAGAAAACATTCTTTACCGAAAACCAAGGTGACCTCCCAGAACAAAGAGCATATAAAGATGTTAACCATTTTGTTAAGTGCAGATAAGTCCTTGTCTAGCAACTACAATTGGGACCAGCAACTTGGTTGTTCAGCATAAGGTAAAAGTTCACCCCCTCACACATAGCTGCTAGTCGTTCCCGACTCTAAGGGGCGGTGCTCATCTCCGTTTCAAAGCCGAAGAGCCAGCGCTGTCCGAAGACACCTTCTTGGTCGTGTGGCCAACATGACTAAACACCAAAGGCTTATGGAATGCTGTTCCCTTCCCACCAATGGTGGTTTCTATTTTTCTACTTGCATTTTTTAATGTGTTTTCGAACTGCCAAGTTGCCAGAAGCCGGAACAAGTAACAGGAGCTCACTCCATTACACGACGCTAGGGATTCAAATCGCCAAACTGCCGACCTTTCTGATCGGCAAGCTCAGCATCTTAACCACTGAGCCACCCCTTTGTTCATGACAGAAGTCTCTAAATGAAAATATGACGGTGCTTGCAATCTTACTTAAGCTTTCCTTTGCTTTACAGACTTGCAGAGGTGGTAAATGCAATTTGGCCCTAAAGTTACTTTTTGATCACTATCGTAACTGCAAACCGTTGCTAAATGAGACAGTTGTTAAACAAGGACCGCCTGTACTTGAGAAAGAAAGTTGGCATCTCACAGACCAACGTAAAATCCTGGAAAGACAGACACTTTAATGTTGCAACTGAGGCAGTGTGTGTTGCCTTTTTTTATTTTTTTATTTTCTATAGCCCTTTGGTAGGTTTTAATTCTGGAAGTTGCTTTGAAAATCCTTTTAGGGAAGAGCTGAAACAGGTTTTTCCTCTAAGTCAGGGCAATAAGGAACGCAAGCTTTGGAGAATATGAAAACTAAACTTAAGTCTCTTCCCTGCAATCTTTCTGTGCTCTAAAGACTTGGAAATCTGAGAAGGAAACCTTTTAAAAATTCCTCTGTTTTTTCCTCTCCAGCAGCCACTGGGAAGATTGAGCCCGCCGGGCGGTTGACATAGAATCGTAAATCACAGAGCGGCTGGAGGAGCAATGGAGGATGAAGAAGAGGTTGAAGAATCTAAAGCAAAGGTGAAGGTGAGGAGAAGGTTGCACCCTGGCCGAGAACAAGTGACTTGGATGGAGTAGGAGAGAATAGTAACTGCTATCGTTTAGTAATGTTACAAGCAAAATCTTCCTCTCAAAATTATGGGAATCCTTGGGGGAAATCCTGCCCCATAGCCTGCAGTTCTTCCTGTAGCAATTTTGCAGACATACCAAACCAGCTTTGGGAATTGGTGGGGTGGCCTAGAGGTGGCTCACAATTACAAGGCTGTGAGTTCGATCCTAGGGAGAGGCAGATATTTCTCTCTGGGCACACTGAGAATATATTTGCTGAACTAAACTCCCGCCCTGGTGACAGGAAGGGCATCTGGCCAGTAAATACTCACCTCCATTCAGTTGCCCAGACTCCACCCCGCAAGAGATTGTTGGGGGTCATTAAAAGAGGATGATGATGATGTTGACCAAACTAGCTTTGTTTTTTTTTTCCCCCAGAGGAGTCCTGTGGTAGATATTTGCTTTTAAAGAGGCACTTTTGGGTTAGTTACTCAAATAGGTTGGATATCCTTCTGTTTTCCTAACAAAACCAAGTGGCTCCCCTCGGCCAACGGGAGGGGGAAACGCTCTGCGTATGTCCAGAGGACGCCCTGACTTTTTTTCCCCATCCTTCCTATCCTGCAGGAGGTGAAGATGTCGACCATCGTTATGACGCTCTTCCCGACGGCCGTCACCGAAGAGAAGCTGCAGGAATCCAAGGAAAAAGCCATCACTCGGATTTTTGGCCCCGCAAAGACTTTGCTGAAGGTTAAAAACCCCCAGCGAGCGGGAGATTATGAAAGCATCCTGAACAGGAAAATTGATGAGCAGTACGTGTTCGTTTCCTTCCCATCCCTAAAACACGGATCAGTGAATAATCCTGCCGTAAGAAAATCCCAATTGGAGACAAAGGCAACAACGCACATGCAAAAATTCTTACTTTTTAAGATCAGAGGTTTATTGTTTCTAATAATTCAGAACATTAGAAATGAATAGATATAAAAGATATAATAGCAGTAATACACTGCATTAACATATTAATGCAGAGGGCCAATGAGATATAGCAAGCCCTACGAGGACTGCTATAAATCGAAGAGCCCCGAGCCGATCTTGAATATCCTTTATACTGTTCTTCTAACCACATACATGGTTCACCAGTTCACTAGCTCTCACTTTCCGTGAACATCTGTGTAACGTTACTTTCAATCCCTCATTTCCAGCAGTTTTCATTCTTGGTGCTTTACACGAATCCATACTGTTGTAGGAAAAAACAGGACACGCAAGCCAGCTCTTCAGGGAAGGAATAGTTTATTTGCGCAGGTTCATAGCAAAGAATAATT